CATTTCTCCATGGAAAACCTCCCATACAGAGCATTCACCAAAAAACTCCACTAAAGGTCTCTAATGAATGCAAATTCAGCCCATGTTGCCCAGCCCTTTTTGAAACGTTTGCTGAGTAATATCGTTGCTTGCTAAACATTTTGTCATGAAATACTAATGGACACTTCCTAGCATTCCCTCACTGCATGTCATAAAACCCTAATAACCAGCAAGCCACAAACAAAGCCTCAGGAACATACAACAGGCCTCTTATCAAGGTACTTTTGCCTCCAAACACGAATTCTCAGCCCAGGGTTGAATCCAGCTCCAGTGGGCAAAGAGGCCCAGGGTTACTACAGAAGTCATTAGACCTGACTACCAAGGACCAGGCCAAGCCAAACCTCACAGATTAGTTGTGGACATGTATCCCGTATCGTTTAGTTCTGAGCGCCCCGGAGGGCCACACTGTGTGAAGGCTGAGGTCTGGGGGAAGAGGATAGTGAACAAGGTTTGCTTTGCATACAAGAATAGGATATGGTTCTTGACCTCAGCAGCTCGACAATGTGGTGCCACTGAGAACTGCAGTGGGCCTTCAGAGGTAAGAAAGCTCTTGGTAGGCCAGAGTTGTCAAGGCGGGCCTCAGCGTAATGCAGGATTTAAAATAAGTCTTGAAAGAAGAGGAGAGAGGTTGTCAGATGGGGGGGGTGGGGAACAAGAGCATAGAAAGAGAGATGGGTGTGGTGAAGAACAGTTAAGGCTGGGTGCCTGGAATAAAAAGTTCCATTGGCAGAAAAGGGCAGTAGATAAGCTGGATAAATAATATGAACCAAATACAGATGCTTTGATTGCCTATTTGGTAAAGTCTTAGTTTAACAAGGAATCTTCTTATGACCTTGACAAGAGAGAGAATGAGGAAAGTGTTGTATGAGGAAGATTAAATTGATAACACTGAATTACAGGATACTAAATTATAGGAGAAAAGAAATGAAAGCAGGGATATTAGTTAAGAGATCATTAGATAATCTAGGAGTAGTCCAGATAAATTAGGACAGAAGACAGAAAGAGGAACAGGCATATCCCAGAGAAATTATACAAGAAAGATTTCAATGTCCCCTTCATATTAAGCTACATCCCAGAGTTCAATTCCAGGGCAAACTGTCCATTCCCTGTGGGCTGTGGAACATCTTGCCAAAAGGGCTAATTATATCAGTGTAGAAAACAAAACCAGATAAATTCAGATTCTCCAAGTAAATAATTTGCAGGATTTTTTTTTTCTGATTTGACTATTTGGGAGAAAATTCTTGAACTCCTCCTTGCTACATATATAAACATAGCCCAAAGATTATCATGGGGTTGAGATAAAAATGGAACATTTTTGACACTTGAGCTTGTAGTCAACCAAGATATGGTGCTAGGTTATGTGTTCAATCCCAGTTACAAACAGGTAATAATAACCAGTCTTTACACAGTTACCTTGTTCAATGTTCATGACAACCCCATAAAATTAGCATCACTATCATTTCCATTTTATAACCAAAGGAACTCAAAGTTAAGCATTTTTCCTAAGATCACTCATTTAGTAAGAGAGAGTGGAAATTTGAAGTCTTTTGACTTCAAAGCCAATGATCTTTCCCCCATACCACTAAATTTTCAGTCCAACACTGCAAAGCAGAGGTTTGTTCTCTTTAAAGAATCAGAATTAAATGATCAGAATTGTAGGTGTTTGTTCTCCTTAAAGGATCAGAATTTTAGGATATAGACTGATGAGTCTTGACATTTCCTTAATGTAACATGTTAATTCTTTATTTAAGAGAGAACAACTTGTGATTTTCTTCCACTGGTGGGCTACAGAGATAATAAAAATGATAGCAAAGGCTATTAAAATTTATATGGAGACTAGCACAGATTGGAATAACTACAAAGTGAATTCTTAAAGCTGCAATAGAAAGGTGGTGAAATAGCAAAATATGAAAGAAACTCTTCTTTCACTTCAGATGCCTTAAATATGCTGTCAAAAGACTGCTCAATTCTCAAATGCCAGTATTTTCTGACTCCTCTAGAACCTCCTCTTAATGCAAAATATCAAAGTCAGCAGGATAGTAGGTGTCCCAAAATGTCTTAATTCAGAGAATTAGTGTTAACTGAGCCTGATTAGCTCCATTTATCTCTAATTAATTACCTTTATCTAATTAGACACTTTGTTTCCAGTAGACATGGAGTCAAGTAGACTAGATTATTAGTGTAGTCATTGTGCCTTTACAAAATCCTGAAATTAATGAAACGTGCAAAAGAATCTGCAGTTCTAATTGCACAGGTGTTGCCTTATGGCAAAGCTTTATCATCTGATTACACCAAGGGGTTATTAGTGACTTTTTATATAGAGGATGAGCCTATGAAATGTACCTTAGCAACAGCTCATTAGTTTAGGGTTGTTACTGTATTATTTATTACATTCAGCCTTCCCCATTATCTAGATTGATTCATGGACCTATATATTTTTTCCTCTTCTCTGGGCAGAAAAAATAAAATAAGATAAACCATCATTCTGAAGAGTCCAGAGGCAATGTGGAAAAATGCAAAATATGTTCATCAGCTACAATTTGACTCTTTTAAGACAGAAAGCTCTAAAGTTAGATGAGATCAGAATCAAATTTATGGGGGTTTTCCTATGGAAAAAGAACCAATTTAAATTACTGAGGAGTATGAAATGATTCATATATGTGATAAAAAAAAAAAAACCCAACCATGTGGCTGTCCCTAATGTCTTCACATAACTGAACAGGCATATCAGGGTATGTGGAAGAAAAAAGCAAAATGTTTTTAGACTAAAATACATTTATATTTATTTTCACTTCACGTTTCCAAAACGGGTTAAGGAGACATCTCCACATATGCTCACCCACAACATTTATTTAAAAAAAAAAATCCATCTCTTGTTTTATTTTTTGCTTTTTTTTCTTAAGGATAGATTTGTTACCAGATGGGGAAAACTGACAAATTATACAATCTAGCTGCGCTGAAAAAGCAAGATTTCAATGCCTCCTTAGGAAAATGAAAAGTGCTTTTTCATGGCAAGGTTAGGCAACTGCAAAACACTAAAATATCCCAACCTTTGTATTTTCATTTTTTTCCCTTATAACCATTTGAAGCACTGTTTTTCACAATCATAGAGTAATTAAACAGCTAGAAGTAAATCCAGTCACAATCCTATTCCAGCATACAAACATGTTTATTGACAAAGCAGTAATTCTTTTAAATAATTTGTCAACATAAATATGTCAAATGGGTTTTAAAATCATTTCTCCCTCTGTTCCTCCACAAAAATTCCTCTACTGATATGAGCCATATATTGCTGTTCACTTACTGCTGAATCTAAACTAGTGAAATGATAACGGGTAACTGTTTTATAGAGCATGACAACTAATTTGAGTGCTAATAATGAATATTTAATGATCCTCCTTTCAAGCATGAACATATAACTTTTCATGTATTCCCTACCAAAATTATAACCATTAATCTAAAAATTATAGTTGCAACTGAAATAATAGCCAGGAATTATAGATTATAGCCAAGTCGGAATATTGCATAAATATTCTGTACAAACACAAACACAGGGGCACGTAGGAAGCTCCAACCTCCTGTTTTCATGCAATCCAAACCATCTCTTTGAAATGTATGAAAGTTGCATGATTAGGAGAGAAGATATTTGAAACCAGATATAAAAAGTCTATTATTTCTATCAATAAAAATAAGTACAATAGCCAAGGTCATTTTCACTCTTCACTAGCTCACAATTTCTAAACAAAAATAACATGTATATAAAAATGTTCCCCCTACAGGGGTAATATTTTTAGAATGTCCTATTTAAATCAAGAAAACAGTGAATGTAAAATTTATCAGAAAGGCAGAATTTTTATACTTTAAATTTCATTTTTTTATGTACTTAATTTCCCCAATTATGTCCCTCTACCCAAAACTACAAATGTGACTTTGGAAAAAGAAAGAGATCTGAAGAATGCATACAATGCTTTAAAATGGGCTTTGTTCGGGCACCTGGGTGGCTCAGTTGGTTAAGCGACTGCCTTCGGCTCAGGTCATGATCCTGGAGTCCCGGGATCGAGTCCCGCATCAGGCTCCCTGCTCAGCAGGGAGTCTGCTTCTCCCTCTGACCCTCTTCCCTCTCGTGCTCTCTATCTCTCATTCTCTCTCAAATAAATAAATAAAATCTTTAAAAAAATAAAAAAATAAAAAATAAAATGGGCTTTGTTCACTGATGAAAAACAATTTTGGTTAAATTTCCAAGTTATATCATTCCTAGTTTTCAGTGAGATCTGCATAATTTCATATGCCTGCAATGTTGCAGAGAAACTATCTGCCTCCTTTCCTGGTTGGGTTTGCTTTCCTTATTACAGGAAAACCAGTGCTCTTGTGGTCACAAATATGCAATTCTACATCAAATCCCAGCTCTCCCTATTATTTTTTAATTGTTTTTAAAGGCACATTGTGCATTAAAAAATAATAAAACCTAAAAATGTGGGAAAGAGTAAGTAAAACCTGTACTTTTTCCCAGTCACGAGACTATCAGAAACTAACTGCCCAGTTGCCCACACCAGCCTCAGCTCGTCAACACGGTTTTGCCTCTTTAGGAATCCAGCTTACAGGCCAAGGTAGCATGTGTTAGGTCACATTCTCCAAATGTGTACATATTCACAGAACACATTTCTAACTGAGCAGGTGTTCTTGACTAAAGCCAAGCAAGATCAAATGAGACAAGGAATTCCAAATGTCCCTTGTAAACTGTACAGTGCTTCAGAAATATAAAATGGTAGCCACCCTAGTAACACTACTTAAGGATACTAAACTCCTGATGATGCTTCATTTGTTCATCTTGGCAGCCTTGCCATTGCCCCTACACAGACATGGCAGTCAATAAAATCTTTGTCTTTCCTGGGTTCTTGCCTGGCCTTCCATTCTAGATTTCTTCTGATGGAGAAGAATTCCTATTAAAGAATGCACACCAA